CTAAGTAAGCGAGAAAATCTAGCTGCAGAAGTAGCTGCAGCGCCCACTTACAGCTAGATTAACTAGATTAAAAGGTACATTTATCTAGCTGCATGCTGGTTGAAATTGTGTACTAGCTGAAACGGCCGCTACATGGGCCAATTAATCGAGCTATGAATTGACCGATTAATCGATAGCAACTAGTTGTACCCAATTGAAACTAGCTTCAATCTAGCTGAAGCTAGATGAAATTTTCATGTATTTCTGTGCAGCTAGCTGAAGCTAGATAAATGTACCTTTTAATCTAAACGCAGCGCCCGCTTCATGATTTTTTTTTTCGTCCTTGGGGAGTTCAGGACAAATTGGACTAATAAAAGTTGGGGGATCGATTTTCAGCCTTATGCAGACTGATTCTTTCATTCTGTTTTTCTGGATCTAGATGAAATATTTAATGAAAATGTCCTATTGTATTGGTCACCATCAGATAAATATTTGGCATTTGTGAAACTAAATTTAACATCAATACCAAAAAATAATTATCTTAACTATAATTCATTTAATAATGATAAATACACTATTCCTTATCCAAAGGTAAAAGTTTGAGAACCTTGTTTAAAACAATTGATAAAAACATCAAGGCGATTTCTTTTCTCATTAGTTTGGTGATCCATTACCATTAATCGATGTCTATGTTTATGATATTAGTACTGACGAAACAATGAAAGTACCACGTCCACCCGAGTACGAGCGATTGTAAGCAAAGAATTGTATAATAGTTAATTATCTATAATAAACGTTGGAATATACATATTTAGAAAGTCAGATGTTTATATATTCCATGTTGTTTGGTGTGGTGATAATTGTTTATCTGTTGTTTATGCTAATCGTGCACAAAACATAAGTGTCATTCAATTATACAGAATAGAAGATGGTAATATTGTTTTGAATAAGGTATAATTATGTCAATATAAACAACGATGACGTATGTTGACTTTATTATTTCATTTTAATAGTATTATGTTGAACAAGCAAGAAAAGGTTGGATACCAGCGAATTTTTTACGACCAGTATTTGTAAAACAAGGTACATATGCATTTATTGTCCGGTATGATCAGTTAAACTTGGGAAAATATGGAAAATCGTATCCGCAAATAGTACGAATTCATTTCAATCAAAAAGTAGGTATTCATTCATTTTATTATCAATAGACTATTTAAACGGCAAAATGAATGATTTTAGACTCCTCAAATAGATCGTAGTTCCCCACCGAATATTCATGTTGATCGAATTATTCATGTTGATGACAAAGACACTGTTTATTTTACCGGATCGAATGACGATCCGAAGGAACGACAATTATACAAGTATTATATTGTGTAACAATCATACATGCAACTTTGATTTTATGTACATATTCTACATTAGATGGATGATAACGTTAAACAATGTCGAATCTGAATGTCTGTCGTGTTATGATGAAAATTGTTCGTATTTTGATGCTCAATTTAGTAAAAATAATGGAAGTTATTTTATTTTGGAATGTCTCGGTCCAAACATACCATATTCAAGATTACATAATCGTTCAGGAAACATGACTGGTAAATTGTATTAACTACAGAAAATTGCTTCATCAACATTTTCTTCACTTTTTTATTCAATGATTTAGAACATAAAATTCAAGATAATCAACCATTTCGTCAGTGGCTCGATTCAAAACTTATGCCTTACATTCATTTTTTCAATGTAACATTAGATGCTGAAAAGAATATAGGTAACCTAAACAATATTTTAATGTGTTTTCAGATTGTTTTTAGCACATAAAATGCTCTGTTAATTTTTTATTTCTCATTTTTAGTGGGATATGGTATGATAATCTTGCCACCATGGTATAATCCAAATGTGACAATCATATCTTATCCGATTATAGTATCTATGTAAGTTACATATATTTCACTATCTTTTTAATACTAGACATTTTAAAAAATTTCGTTTTTTTTTTAGAAGTGACAACTTACATACTCAAAGAGTAACTAAAAAATATCCATTATTTCTACGAGAGTAGGCTTAGAAGAATTATTTTATTCATACATGGATATTATCATTCTAAATAATTTGTCTATAATTCAGATATTATCATGTAACAAAAGCAAATATAAGCATTGTATTATTTGATGGACACGGTAGCTTCGGACAAGATGAAGATTATCTTAAAAGTGATTACAAAAATTTGTTTCAACATCAATATGATGATTATATTAAACTAGCAGAGTATGAGAAAAAAAAAACATAATATATCGATTATATATTTATTCCTAGAAAATTTCTTTTAGATATCTAAAATGTCGAGAGAAGAAATTTAATAATACATTGAATGATGCCCGTTTTGGATTAACAGCTATAGTAAGAAATAACAATTAAATTTTAGTTTTTGATTATTTTAAAATATTTCATTTATTTTCAAGGGTTCTGGCGCTTTTCTAGCACTAAAACTTTTGAGAGAAAGAAGAAAGGATAAAGATGAATATCTTTGCGCTTTTCTACAATCTCCCGTCAATGAATTTTCACATTATCGTGAGTGAACTTGACTCTTTAATAAAAAACATTTCTTTCAATGAATCTTGACATTTAGATGCGGTTTATACTGAACGAATAAATGGTCTAAATTCTATATCCATACGTGTAATGAATAACATCTCTCTTTGTCACTTATATAAAAATATACATCACTTAAATATCTTGTTCTAGCAAGAAGCGAATGTTCATGAAATTGGTAAGAAGAGTCTAGCAATTGTTCACGGAATGTCTGATGGTACGATAATCGCAGCCTAATCATTGTCTATCTCTGTCTTTTTTTATATTCTTTTCATTTATACAGAAGTAGTCCATTTTCAACATTCGGCCATTCTTGTAAAAAACTTTGTTCAAGCTGGATCAAATTTTGAATTTAAAGTAAATGTTTATCACTACTAAATTATATATATTCGATTAAGACACATTTTTTACACTCAAGGTATATCCAGATTCAGATTATTATTTCGAAAATGATCGTGCCACATATGAAGATTATTTTCGATTTAAAATTCGATTTTTTCAACACTGTCTTGGTACTCGTGTAATTAAAGAACAAAAACCAATTATACAAGATGATAGTAATGAAAATATTTAAAATTATTTCTTCTTCTAAATACCGGTTATGCAAGATCTGTTTGTTGTTCTTTTTTTTTAACTTATTCTATCTTGTGTCAATTCATTATTTTTTTTTTTTATTTTATATTTGTTAAAATGTTATTGTTTAACTCGTTCCATGAGTTCTAAATGTAAATAAATTTTTGTTTTTGTTTTGTTTGTTGATTTTTATTGTGTATTTTCAAACTCTAGTATATTTGTACTCGATATGGATAGTTTTTTTAAGAAAAATGTAGACTGTAAGATAATCACAGAAATATTTGAGAACTGAGACGATTGTCAAAAATGGGGAGCAAACTCTATAATGATATATAACCTATTAGTGTTTTCGTAACGTCTCAATTGAGATATAATCCATATTTTAATCAAGTATCTCAGTTGAGAAATCATTATTTCTGCGAAAATATCCGTTTCTCAACTGAGATACGTTTGATAAAATATGGACTTCGCGAATTTTTCAACTGGTTTTTCACAAAACTCATGATTNTTTGAGAACTGAGACGATTGTCAAAAATGGGGAGCAAACTCTATAATGATATATAACCTATTAGTGTTTTCGTAACGTCTCAATTGAGATATAATCCATATTTTAATCAAGTATCTCAGTTGAGAAATCATTATTTCTGCGAAAATATCCGTTTCTCAACTGAGATACGTTTGATAAAATATGGACTTCGCGAATTTTTCAACTGGTTTTTCACAAAACTCATGATTAAATAGTCAGGAGAGATACATCATATACCTAATTTTATTTCATTCACTATTGAATAATAGACCTTTGTACACTGTACTCGTGCACAATTGCACGTTTCAACGCACGTGTCAAAATTGTATCTCAGTTGAAGTCTATATTTTATCAAATCTCTCATTTAAGAAACGAATATTTTTGCAGAAATAATGGTTTCACAACTGAGATACTTGATTAAAATATGGATTATATCTCAATTGAGTGCAAACCAGTGTTTTATTTTAGCTTTTTTAAACGATTCGTCTCAATCAAACCTCTCGCATCTCAAAGCGTTTCATAACAACAAGGACCAATAAATAAAATGTATACCTAGTAAGAAGCAGATAAGATAAAGTAATACTTGGTTCTCAATCAATAACTGTAATAACTGAGCTAAATATGCTATGTTTAACGACTAGCACTCCGTAAAATATTTTGACAGGTGGTCACCTGATAACCTAGTGATGAGCATTCAGTTTCAACTTTTTTTGGAGGATCAATGAAAGTCAGACAGAAAGCTTTTCCTTTTGCACCGAAATTTGATCATTTTGTGTACATCACTTGCAATACAAATCTTTGTAACACGAAAGAAATATTAAGCGATGTTATATCAATAGTGAATAACGAATTTATGCAAACGTATTCAGATTCAACGAGTACAACAACTACAACTGTTGGTAACGGTAATAATAATAACGGTGGCGGCACAAAGTCTTTTTTTTGGCGCAACTTCTCCAAGGTATTTTTTATGATGAGGCTGAAAGGCACCTACAGTATGTACTCGTTCTCTGTCATTATAACGTTATATTCCGATTGTCAAAATTATTTTTCAAAAAATTAGCAGAACCTTACGTTGAACCAGGTGTTCTATTTCTGCTTATAAAATACTGTGGTTTCCTTTTAGCTCGAAATAGTAGCTACAAGGAGAGACTATCTACATCAGTTCGCATTGATCCTGGCCCCTTGGAGCTACTATTTGGAGCTAAAATGGAACAACCATAAACGACTTTATGATGATCGATTCGAAATTCTTTATGGTATAAGTTTTTTCATCGGATTTGATCTTTATTAGTGGTGAAAAAGCTCTTCTAGAATTGTCTCTTAATAGTCTATAGTTTTAACATCTGTAGGATCATATAGAAGTCGCCCAGAGAACGATGACAATCCTATCCAACGCTTCGACCAGAAGAATTTGACAGACTGAGTTGAGATTTGTAACAGAAGTATAGTACTCGACAAAATTAGCCTTTCTCTGAATCTTCAGAATCATAATAACCTTCTACTTCAAATTTGGTCTATTTATGGCTTTCACTAAATGCTGATCGCCGAGCAAGTTTAGGCCTCTTTGACAACCGTAGTTGACATACACAGAAAAAATCTGGTGTATATCGTTTACCGGATCTCGCGGGTTTTTTTGCGATTTTTCTCTGAGTATTTCAGAAATTTTTATAGTTTTTAAAAACTGCACGAAACAAATAATCTTCTGTTCTTTTTCAGGCTTGATTATTATTTTGGACATTTTCAAATATGAGTAGATAGTGTGCAAGAATGGTGATAAGCAAGAAACCGTTCAATCATAGTAACGGTTTGGCTGCACCACGAAAACTCAGAAGAGATGATTTAAGCCTTGATGAAAGTTCGTTAGTCACAAGATTCATAGCACTGAAAACAATGTCAGATGGACAACTTTAGAATACAAAACACTAGTTTCAGCATGTGAGATTTTCAACTAGTATTATCCAGGTTTTCTGTGAATATCAGCTACTATCTGCGCTTCTATTTTCTCTAAATTCATTCTTATTCTGAGAACATTATCCTTGCAACACTATTTGTCACATGATCGAACATGTCCAGTGATGGTCTAGAATTTGAACTTTCGTCCGCATTTTAGATAGTCGTAGCTACCATTGGCACTTCAATCAAAAACTCAATAGTTTTTCTTTGTGTAATACCTTGCTACGGTGTTAGAACTGTTATCGAAGATACATTGTAATTCTTCAAGTCATATGATCTTGGATGACGTACTTGGACACCTAACTCATTTGACTCGTTGTTTTCTGTTCGTCTTTTTTTTACTGCTGAAATAACACAACTAACATACATATTGTGAACTTTACGATTACATTCTTTGAAAAAATTGCTGCTTTTCACATAAATATTACTCCCCTCGACGATGAACTCCTATTCTATTAACATGATTAACTAAATATAAGCAAATTTCTTTTGTGTTTTATAAATAGCTACTACAATAAGTTTATTTCTTGCTCAACAAATAACGTCTGTCTTGTTTTTCACCTGTGAATCAATATACCATCACTATACTTGTTTATTTACAAGTGAAAAAACAAAAATAATCCTTTTATTTAATCGATACTTTAATTTGACATCGTTCCAACTTGAACTGTTGGTCTCATTCGTGCACATGACATTCTAGCCTTGGCATCAGCTTGATTATTGAATGAAAAAAACCAGGACCTCTTCGTTCAATTTCTTTTTCTATTATTATTCTGACTTTTTTTTAGTTTTTTAGAAATTACAATTTGGATTATGTCATTTGCTATGCAACGGGTGCGGCATAATGATACTGCTAGTATTTCGTCAATATCTCGATGAGTTTTCATTGTAGAGATTTAAGCGTAGTCTCAAAAGATTTTTCATTTAATTCTCTACAAAATCCTAAGAAAAGTGCACGCACAACAAATAACAGTGAATTTATAGACTGTCAACACTGCTAAACGGGAGCACTTTCCAATCAATATTACGTTTTGTTTTTATTTTTTTCCTCGCACTTTCGTCGCATAGAAAAAGACTGAATATGCCATTTTGTAGCTCTTGCAATGGTCTATCATTTGAGAAACAACTGATAAGTTTTTCATTCCAAGCCTTTGTGATCGAGACCTTTTTCCTTTTATTTCATATTCGATTTTCTACGCCCTGCTAATGAGGCTCATTGTAAATTTTGTACCGTTAGGATAGAGTGTAACGTTTTCTTGCTAATGTTCTTGCTATTTTGTTTTGTAAAGGTGTAGAAAAATATTTTCTCTATCATCTCTAAAAATCAACCCAATTGGCGTACAAGTCTTCTTTTGGCACCCACAGTGTGTAAGAGGAAAATGCTCCATGGTTCCAACTCGTTTTTCTACGAAATCTACCACAAGAAACTCACTGTGTTGTCTAAGAGAGTTGAGTGACTTTTGAGTGCTGTGAGAAAGAGCACGTCCGAAAACATGGAAAAATTCACATCAGAGTGCGTTTGCGTCTGATTAGACAGAATCAGAGACATAATTTATTAATAATCTTCTGGAAATGTGCACTGGAAAGTGCTCCAATTTAGGACATTGCAGTGTTGATAGCCTATGAATCTAACGTTACGTATTGTGCGTGCTCTTTCCTTACGGTTTTGAAGAAAATTGAATGGAGCATCTTTTGAGATTAAGCTCAAGTCTCTACAGTAAAAACTCACCGAGATATTGATGAAATACTAGTGGTATCATTATTTATGCCGCACCCGTTATATTTTTTGAAGTGAAATATTTTATTTTAACAAAACACCTACCTTTGTATAAACGCGCGCCTATAGTAACGAAGGTTAGAAGGTAATTAAACGCCTGGAAAATCCATTTAATCTACATATTCTATATCTCTCTAGTAGGTACCGAATTGCAAAGAAACGGCACTTCTACCTCATATAATCAACAAAAAATTCCAGATAAACCAGATGTCTATGATGAAGGAAAAATGTTGATTGACAGAGAATGTCTCCTTTTTCCTTGTGCGAACTGGGTTTTTTTCACTTTTTAAATGATAATATCTTGCTAGATAAATGACTAAAGTTATTTGTACGAGAAATCATCAATATTATATTCTAAAATTATGTTTTTGATATGATAAAAAAATGAATTTTTAAATTATACATTCCCAGGCATGAATTTAGACCTATCTGGTTGTTTGTTAACGGAAAAGGAGAAGAGGCGTCTTCTACGGTAAATCAGGTCTTAGTCGCTGTTTACTGATGCTGGTTTCAATGGACAAAAAACACACTTTTCGGTCATATTTCTTGTTTCTTCTGAAGTATTAAAAGAATGATTTATGTGTTCTTTCATGTAGCATTTATGGTAACTAACACGATGTAAAAAGAAAGAACAAGTAATTTTCATATGTAAATTCCTATGGATCTTCGAGATATATGCAAAATTAGAACCGTTTCCGCAAAAGATGATCGTCAAAAAAGCCTGCTCGTAGTGCAAGGCAATCGTTACACAAATAAGATTTTCTCACGGCAAAATCAGAACCTTTGCTCAATGTTTAAGCTTCGGAATATATTTTTCGGAAATTTTCACTATTTTGTTACCTTATATGCGCCATTAGAATACTTAAAAATATTACCAGTCTGGCACTTGCTAATTTAATTTAATTTAATTTTTCTGTCACAATACTCCAGCTCTAAATTCCTTATTTTAATATATATTTATAGAGTTTTAAAAGCTCTATCACATGATATGTGCTAAATTCTGTACGCCAATAAAACTTAGAGATTATATAAGAAATACTAAAGATTATACTATTCACTTTGATCAAATTTAGCATATTACTCCATCTACTGGTATCCAAAAAATATTTTAGAAATGCAGTTTTGTAAGTCTTATTCAGAGCTTTCGATTGCTATATAATATAATATTAGTAAACTTTTCTTGACGCGAGAATAAGAGCAAGTATCCTTTTATGACCGAATAACCTGAAAAAATGGTTTTCGCATCTATGAACAAGCAGGAACAATAACTAATAATAGAAAACGAATGAAAAGATGATCAGCTACCATTTTCCTCGAAGGCGGTCGATTTATCGTAGAAAACACCTCGTCTTAATTAACCACTGCTTTGCAGAGCAATAATTTCTCTTCACAGCAAAGCGTTACTGGTACCGAATTAAAACGCTGCATTGGAAAACTCTTAATTGAAAAATATTCGGCAGAAACTGAGTCTAGCACTTGAGCTAAAACCTTCAGTCCGAATGGACAAAGTTTTGATAGAGTAAGTCTATGTGCAGTGTCCTCAAAACTCATCAAACTGTAATTTTGGAAAGCTGAGCAAAAATAAGCCCATTTATTTTTGAAGATCAAGTTATGTTAAAAATTTCTAATACCTGCGATTTATTGTTACGATTCTGTAGCAAGGACAGAAATGAGAGAAGCATATTTAAAGATCAGGTTTACTGAATACAAACGCATCGTTGTTATTTTTATGTCGATATACATCATGCATTTGTTCAGGAATTTTTGTTATTGTTTTTTTCTTGTTTAGTCACCGTTTTTGCAAAAAGTGACTCGCATGATCCACAGAACTACGTGACGTAGAGACGTTTTGAAAATGAGGGATACTTCTCTGGTACTGAATATGGATCAGTTCATGTTCTTCTTTTAAACAAAAGCCGAGTTGAGCGATGAGTTTCACAAGTGAAAGAAAAATGTCTTGGACTTCGAAATTTTTAATATATTTCTACCCTATAAAAAAGTCCCAGTACGGCACTGCCAATGCGCACCGATGCGCATGGCATGCCATCAGTCACTGTCACTGGCTGACACCGGTACGCACCCGTGTCCAGCAAGTGCCGAACCAGTGCCGATTGGCACCCGTGCGCACTAGTGCCAATATATTTCTACCCAAAAAGTGACGCCCGGGCAAAAATCAGTGTCATACTGAAATTTATTTAATCAATTTAATTAGTTTTTATTATAGTTGTTTATGCTAATCTTTGTATTAGGCACTGATCAGTATCACATTGACATGTCGAAACCATGCGGCATTGCCTCGGCATTTCTCCTATGAGAAGGAAAAGATGAAGTCAGAAAGATATTCGAAACATTAGAAATATACTGTGGTGTTAGTGTAGACAGAAATTGACCAAACAATTCGGCACCGGTGCGCATCCGTGCACAACTAGTGCCGATAAAATATTTTGGTAGGATAGTTAGTCGGCGTCATTTTTTCTTTTTTTTGACAGAATTGAGAAATGAATGGATGTACATATCTTCTAATTAGTGAATTTTTTTTCACATACATGCATGGTTTGGAATAATCACAATAAGAAGAAAGAAGAGCCGCTCGCTAATTACTCCGTTAAAATTACTACAAACTTCTTTATAAGATTTTCTGCTTCTTGTCTTTTATGTATTTGTCTAAAGGAGGTTTTACTTTGCTGTTGCGCCACTTAAGCACATAGTCTCAAAAGTGTCTGAGTGCTGTTTTTCTTACTGATCAATACTGTGAAAAGTTACTGCTTAAACATGTGTCGCAATTTTCGTACTTTTTATATTTCGTTTTTGTATCTTTTCTAGACTCAATCCCATGCAGCATTTAAACATTTCAATATTGTTGAACATATCTAAGTGCCTGTTAAGCATATTTAAGCATTGTTTGAGCACTTGTAAATCAGCTGATTTATATGGCAAAAATTTTTAAGTGCTACCTTTAGATAGAAGAGTTTATTATTAAGATATGAAGAATAATATATTCAAATAGACTCACGTCGAAGATATTTTGATATCAATTACATCTTATTTACAAAATCAGGCGCCTCGTGTTATTATCTGTACTATTGCCTTGTATTCAGTAATCCCTTCCTATGAAAACTGCGCTACACGATCTACAAAATCACGGAACGTAAAAAAATGTGATAACGTAGGTAGATATAGAAGAAGTAGCACCCCAGTTCAGTTGTTTTTAATGCTACAGAAAATTCCAACGACATTGATGATTAAAATCCGCTCGTTAGCTTCAGATCAGTAGCTGGAAATGTCCAGTGTCTGTCGACGTCGCAATTTGTGCGTAGTGTAATTGTAATCTAGCTTATAGTTGAGATATTTCTTATTTATGTCAGCTCTATTATTCATACAGAAAATTTTAGATAAATCTATTTTTCTTGTTTTGAAAAGCCCTATATTCTGATCGACTACTATATGAACTCAATCCTAAAAGCTATTCAATTCTCTAATTTATATTAAAAAGCGAGGTATATTAAGAATAGGCTACATCAGTAAAATGAAAAACAAACATCGTTTTCTTTCCTTTTTTTGTTTTTTTCTCCCTCCTACTGTTTGTTTAACACTATAGTGTGTACACATTAGCTCACGGGAGAAGAAATAGTAGACAAATAGGCCATATATTATATAAATTTCTTGTAACAAAGACATTACGACATCGTGAATTTAAAAAAAAAACATGAAATGGTTAATATATTCGAAAAAAATTAAACAATGTTATTTTGAACAATGCTTAAAACCTAAAAATGAAAACTAATGCCTAATACTAACAGAGAAGCTCAAATAACTAACTCAATCTACTTAAAATAGATTTTTGTCTGAACAAAATGATATAGTACCATAGGTAGATATTAATTTATACAAAAAAACTGAGTTGGATTCTAAGATTCATTAAGCTCGTTAAAATACCATTATTTATCCAAAACGCTGAAAAATCGATCATCAGTTTTGAACAGATCTAAAATAAGCTTTCGACTTTTGATTGCTCTTAAACACATATCATCTATAATATCCATCTACTTATCTGCGATACTAAGCGAAAACGTGGTTTTATCACTCATGCTTCAAATAAGAAGAAAAACCCGTAAATCCATCAGAGGATTCTGCCCTGAATAGAGAATATTGAATGACAAGATGTATTGGCAGACTTGTTTTTAGCATATCATCATAAATAGTTTGTAACACATTTACTTTTTTTATCATAAAGTAATTCTATTTATATATTTTGTTCTCAAGAAAAAAAAGGAAAACGATGCAAAAATGGGCAAAAAAACAATCAAACAAAACGAAAAGAACAAACAAAAAAAAACGAGACTTGGAATATAAAGCAATGCAACAACATAATTTTATTGTTTTTGTTACAAATAAAAAGGCAAATATTTTCTTAATGTAATGGCTGTGCTGACGGAGACGAAAAAAAAGAGAAATTATAAACATACATAATCTGTTAGTGAATACAATTAATTACATTGAAAAAAAAAAGACACATGTCTTGTTGTGTGGTTTGTTTAAAGCGCGAGCACGAATAAAAAACAAACAAAAACTCATTTTTTGATCACAGGCGTAATAAAATCGAAAAACAAAAAATAAAAACTGAATACATATGTATGTGTGTGTGTGAGAGAGAGAGAGACTATGGATCATTTGCATGATGCAAAAAAAAATAAATTTTCTAAGACAGAAAAAAACAAAAATACACAGATCTAATAGGCAGAGATTCTTTTTTCTCAATAGTGTCAGAAGAAAAATGAAAAAGAAGAATTACGCCAAGACGAGTTTTTAAATTTCTCTGCGAAAAAGAGATACATGTAGAAGTCGAGATCATTTTATTCACCAAAAGAAAGAAGCTCACATATAAATTCATTTCACATTTGTGTATGTTTATAGGCATATGTTCTCTATTTACATTGGATAAAACAACAGCAACGAAAGAAAAAACATCAGTACGGTGGTAAAATAATTTATGAATTACAAAACATAAAAAGAGCAAAAAAAAAAAATGAGAGTCAAATAGTTAGGCAAACAGGACGAGCAGGCGTACGTTTGACGTGTCAGTCCATATGTCAGTATAGGATAATAAAATTCAACTCGTCATAGTATATCAATTAAAAACAATAATGTACAATATTAAAAGAAACAAAAACCGGGTTGATTGCAACAGAAAAATTAAAAAGATTGCGTTCACGCTAATTTGATTTGTCTAATCAAAGGGAGAGAGATCATAATAGATCAAACGTTTGTCCGCCTCCACCAGGAAATTGTCCACTATCGACAAAACCCATTGGTGGGCCACCACATTGTTCTTGGTCAGGTTTATTTGGTCCATTCGAAATAAATGAGTGTTGATTATCGAACATTGGGTGTGGTGATGAATCAGGAAACGGATTTTGATTATATAAAAGTTGACTAGAATGTTGCTGTGCAGTCATTGTATGAAAATGTGGTGGTGGTTGTTGACTGTTTTCAAACATCATGTCGTTCATCATTGGTGGGCCACCATTTGGTCCAAACGAAGGATGGAGATGTGAATGCATTGGCCGTCCTGGACCGGAATGCATAACAAAATTAGGATTACTAAAGCGATTACCTGGCATCATCATCATGCGATGTTGTGGATGCATATGAGGAGGAAATTCATGATGTGGAGGACCTCGAATCATCATTCCACCAGGGCCACACATTGGGTCATGCATCATCATGTTTTGTTCGAAATGAGCTTGCTGTTGTTGCTGTTGTTTTGATAGACGGCTGGAATTTTGGTTAGAAGGAATTTGTGGAGATGGTGGAGGTAAAAAGTCGATATCAGGATTCAATGAACGATTTCTAGACGATGATGAATTTGGCTTATAACGTATTGTCGAGACACCTTGTGGTTCGATTTGTACGTTTTTCTCACGCGCCATCGGTGGCTGTCCAGACAGTGGACTTTGTGAACTGGTATTAATGTTGTTACTGTTAGTATTTTGTTGCGTCTGTTGCATATTTTTCCCAGAATTTTGTGAATTTAGGGGTGGAGGCTGAGCAGAAGACTCTTGTGGTGGACACATATCATTAAATTGTTGTCCGAAAGGACCGTTTGGTTGCTCGTTATTCATTGATGAATATTGCTGGGCAAACATTGGATCACCATGCGGTATTGACGTTTGATGATGTAAATGAATAGTGCCTGGTTGTAAACCGGGTCCTAAATTTTGAATGTTTAGTTGTGCTATGGACATTGTAGCATTCACATATGTATTGTTGATAGCAGCTGGACGATTTTCATGTGGATGTAACTGTGGCTGTTGATTTTGCGTAGTATTTGGCGGTATAGAAAACATGTCATCTTGCTGCATATGCATAAATTGTTGATGATGCGGTGGACCAAGACGTTGCATATGGTCATCAGGAGGTAATTTTGAATTCACGGGATAAAGACTAGACGGATGATGATTTGACATTTTACCACGACCCATTGGTCCATGAGATGACGGTGGACCGTTCATTGGCGGATGATCCTGCATCATCAAACCAGGCGATTTGTACATGTTTAAATGGTGATGTGGTGGATGGTCCGACACCATGCGAGTCATATTCTAAATGAATAAGTGGAAGAGAATGTTGCAGTTATTCTTTTTTCGTTAGAACGAAAGCTCTGACATCAGATCCAGAAGAAAGAATCTTTAACCGCATAACAACGAGAACAGCACGTGTTCATTAGTTAAAATTAAATAATTAGATCTACCTGAAATTGAGCATTATTCATACTGTGCATTTGATGTGCATGATGGTGATGAGCAGATAAAGGCGACTGCTGTTGTTGTAATTGATCAACACTCTTTGCCATATTGGCAAGATTTGAACTAGTTAAATTGTTTGTTCCTGTCGCTGTTGCTGTTGTACACGAAGACGATGTAGATGAAAGTTTTGATCCATTGTTATATGGTGAATTTGATGTTTGAAGATTATTTGTCATTTGTAACATACTACTTAACGGTGGTGCCATATTCGTTGTTGGTGTTTTAGGATGTTCTAATGGTTCGTCTTTTGGAGTCGATAACGTATGATGAATTAATGGTGATGATGAATTTAAAATACTTGTTTTTGAATTTGGTGTATTACGAATATTTGGCGGTGGTATACTGTTATTATTTAATGAATTAGGTGTTAGAGATGGGGGCGGTGGTGGTAATGGAGTATTGTTATTTCCATTTTGATTAAGATGAGAATGATTATGTGGAGTTTGAAGTAGCTGATGATTTGGTGTTGTGGATTGTGAAGGTAAAGGAGTTTGGGGTAACGGATTAGGGGTTGACGTTGAGCGTGACAATGGTGTCATTGGTTCATCTTTACATGACGAATTAAAACTATTTACATTATTCGGTCGATAGCTTTTATTAAAGTGTCTCGTTATAGTCAATTCTTCACCTTCCATTTCGATATAATTCATTTGTGTTGGTGATGGTGTCATTTGCACTTCAAGTGGTGTATTATTATTATTTGACTTCTTTGATGGAAGATTTTCGGGTATAAATTTTTCCGGTTGTCCCACTTTATGTAAACGAGGTGTAGTTGCTTCAATTTTCGGAGACAGCAATTTTGTTGTTGGCGTAGCTGCTGCCGATGTTGGCGTTAACGACGACGAATGATAGGGTGGCGGTTGACCTCGATTGTTTGTTTGTAGATTTTCCAATTTTGCTTTTTCTCTTTCTTTATAGTGTTCTTGTTGTAAACGACTCCATTCTTGTGCAGCTTGTTGCTGTTGATGATGATGTGGATGTGGCGAAAATGGATCCTAAAAATATTTAAATATATTTTCAATTTTTTGCACGCTGATTGTAATAATGTTTAATAAAATGAATAAAAGGACTTACCTGATGAAAATGTCCAGGTGGAAAGGAATATGGTCCGTTTGGACCGTTCATCATTGGCGACGGACAACCATTTATATCAATCATCATACCGTGTGGTGGACCATCACGCATATGCATCATGTGATGAGGCGGCCCATTCATATTTATCATTGGATTTCCATGTGGTCCCATACACATGGGCGGATGATGGTGGTGTTCTAATGGATGTGGTCCTGGTGGACCACTCATCATCATCATTTGTTGATGATCTATCGCAGGCGCATTACGACTTCCACCACGACCTCGACCTCTTGCGCCCATCGTTTTTTTCATATGACCTAATTTTGATAACTGTTCTGTTCGATGTTTTAATTGTTCGGGCGTTAGATTTTCTCCATCATTTAAATGTGGTGGAATATGGCCCATTCTCATCGTTGGAGGTGGTGGTGTATTTCCACCAAGTAAAACATTTCCAGCAATTACATTCGGTTGTGGTAAACCACCGGGAATCGTCGGTGTCATACTTCCGAACGGTGAATGATTCAACGCTCTTAAATCATTTTGCTGTTGCCAAGGAGGTGGTGGTAATTGTTGGCCACCATTACACATCATCGGTACACCATTCATATTCATTGAACGGGGAGAATGACATGGCGAGTGAAGTTGTGATAACAGTGAATGATTATTTAAATTTGTTGGTAAAGACTAAAGTAAAATATAGAAAAACATTTCAGTAAAAAGTCCCATTTTCGCGTCAAAAGTTGTTTCAACAAAGAAGCAATAACTCCAAGACTAAACTTTTGAAGTCTAAAGGTTTATTTAAAAAACGTTCCACACAACATAGTTATCAAGAGCAGCAACATGAGAGAATGTCTTCTTTAAGAATCCTCAGTTTACTCGAGAATGTAGTATTCAGTATCTGTCGATATTAAACAACAGACAATTTTGTCAATTGAGAGCAACTATGTGCACATTTAGTAAAGGGCTAAAATAGACAACTTAGTCATAAAAAAAGGAACAAATGTTCATTCATACTAAAACTGCAAATTCTTCAGTCTCTAATGACCAAAAATTTTTCTAGGTACTTTTTTAGAAAAAAAATTCATAGAAACTTCTTAGTGCATTTCATCTTAAAAATAATTTATTTAGTTTAATTAAGAGAGAAATCAAGAACTTACTACTTTATTAGGCAAAATTCTCGAATAAACTAGAAATCCTTATAGGCAAAGAACTTTTGCATCCTTCTCCAAGAGACAACGGCAGTTAGCTGAACAGTTTGAACTTACTCCCAGATAATCTGCTGTTGTTCGTAATGATTTATGATATTCTATAATATTTGGATATTCTTGTTTTAAAACAGCTTCTGTTGCATCATTGGCTAATTGTGTCGTAAATACGAATACTTGATTGCTTGTTTGTAAAAATGGACTGTCATTTGTCATCGTAAATTGATTTCTTGGTGATATAGGCATATATGATGATGGTGGTTGTTGATGTGTCAGCGGAGACGATTGGGTTAACAATGAGTTTTGTGAAGGTGGTACTCCTGGCACATTTTGTAAAAGATTACTGCCACCAGTAGCTGAAGGTGATTGAATTGATAGATTTGAATTATTTGAAACACCATTAGGCATATTTCCATTAGTGCCAAAATTAAATGCTGGATCATTTACGCCATTGTTTCTTGATAAACAACCTGACAATGCTAAAAGACAAAAATTCAAATTGTATATTGAATATGCATAAGATGAATTAATTCAAACTTTAACTCTTACGCGTTCCGGTTCTTCTTAAGCGTTCATCTGGAGAATCGTGTTCGAATTTATGTTTGTTTTCTCTACCTGAAGATAGCATGATGGAAGAATAATAAGTATGCCTAAATTCAAACTTTTCTTTCTGACTTTTACCTGACAGTTCTGAATCACTAACTGCTTCAGCAATTTCATCTAATTTTCGTTTATTACTCTTTGATACTGGTGTATTACGATTGGAAGATGATGAGGGTGGCCTAGATAACGAGTCACAATGATCTTGTTCTATATACAACGTGGAAGGTGTGCCTGCATTAAGATCGTTATTGATAACTATTAATAAAAAAGACCAAATGAATTCTTTTTATTTATAAACAATATGACGAGTCTATTACCAGGATTTGTAGCCAGAGCAGCGGCAGCTCCTATTGAGTTTTTAGCTTTTTTTGCGTTTCCTTTCATGAAATTATGGTTGTCAAATTCTAATTATCATTTGTTTCTTGAGATATAAAAGTTTTTTCGTTTGATTGTGTTAGCCGAACCTGAAACGAAAATTTAAATTAGTATTCCATAGAAAGTAAGAAACTTTGTTTATAATATTAATTTTATATAATAATTAAAATCTGTTTAACTTGCTTGCCTTCTTTTTTTGCTAAAATATAATAAACTATCATAGTCACTAGCCATTGTAAATGAAACAGGAAAATTGAATTTTTTAGTCGAAGTTAGATTAGAAAAAAAAGCAAGAGAAAAGAAAAAAGATCTAAAAATGAAGTTGAATAAATAAAATAAATTGTTGACGTTAAAGTAAACCACACACACACACACACACACCATACATACACACAACAACTTTGTGCGATTTTTTTTCCCACCTTTCATGCAAAACTTTTTCCTTCTATTGAATATGAAGTGTGTCACATACACAGATTGTCAAAAAGAACAAATAAGTGAGCGTTCTTTTTTTTTTTTCTATTCTTTCTCTCTCTTTCCATGTTCAACACAGTCGTCATTCACTTCATACATACGACAGAATGAACGTAAAGAATACATACACATATACATACACATACATACATATATCAACTATGTACAACTATAAAACAAACAAACAACTGAGCGACTTTTCTGTCCATTTTGTTTGAACACGTGAATAGATAGTGTATATATGTGTTCATAGAAAACAAAATCGCGTAAACATATTCATATATCAATACAACAAAATGAGAATGTCTATAAAGAAGCAAAAAAACTCAAAAAAAAAAATGGCACACAGAAAACATATTACTGTCATAATAATACATGCTGCAATTTCTGAAAAATAGACGAGAAGAAAAATAACATTGTGTTCTCTTCACCCAATAAAAGTCCAATCGGAAGAGCAAAGACGAGAAAGAAGAAAAAAAAAGAAGAGAATGGTTTTTTATATTTTTAAAATCATAATGAAACAAAGACAAAAAAAAAAAGTTTGCATGTCTTATATATATATATATATATAAACATACAGAGCAGCAAAATCTCCGAAGAATATATATATATGTGTATGGATGTATCAAGGTGTGAAAACTGCATCGCGTGAACTAACAGAAAAACTATATCTATGTATATAGATATAAAGCAAAAAGAGTAAAAGAAACTACGTTTTTTCTTCTTTTTTTTTGTTTTTTTTCTATAGACTCTTCCCTCTATTTATTAACATGTTCATTTCCGGGATGAGCACATCTTTAAAAAAAAAGTGAATGAGAAATATAACTACTATCACTACAAGTCCTACCATTACTACAACGAACAACCTTCACATAATTAGTCATAGGTGTAATATAGAGGGGAAAAAACTTTTTTCTAATACTCATACTACTTGTAATACAAAATAATGCAAACAGACAAAAAAAAAAAAAAAGAGGAAAACAGACTATGTTTGGTATTTCATTCAGTCCCAAAGAGATACAAATTTTATATGATATTAGTAATAATATTTCACATGACCATAAAATCTTTTATAAACAAATTAAAAGTAACATATAGAAAGCTAAAAAAAAATGTACTTTTAGTATAGAATAAAGAAATAGAACTTTTCTTATGCGTTCTAAATCGTTATTACAATAAATGTTTCGTTATATAAGTAAAAATCAGTTAAAGATTCAAACAAAACCCTATTGATTTTATTTAAAAAAAACACTGAAAAAAATTGTAAGAAAAAAAGCATTTTATTAAGGAGTTTGTTTTTTTAAATGAAGGTTCATAATCTGTATCCTGCTGCTTCATCATACACACACAGAAGAAAAAAAATCAGAAATGAACGTTAAACGCAAGCGATGTCAAGGAGAACGTTCTTTTCTTTTCATTTTAACGCGTCGTAGACAAACATAAAGGTGTACACCAGTAAAATAAATAAAGAAAACTTATTCTCTATACGACAGACACAATCATCACATAACAAAACCTAGAAAACAGTATAGTTATTGATGTATAAAAACTTGATTTTTAACAGTGATAAGAATTTTTAACACATGGCCGATATCGAAGATCAATTAATGTGCTAAGATTGATTTTAATGTAAAATTATCTCACTATCCCTTACAACATATAAACATTGTCTATTGTTATTGAGAAATCAAAATATTTCTATTACATTTGTCTTTTTTTAAAAATGATACTAAAAAAAAACGTTTATTATTCATAAAACAGGTTTCCGAATACTGATTTTATCAATAGATTTATTGATACTATTCATATCTATATTAACATACAGTAGAAGTAGATTGAGGTTTACTAAATAAGATATATCGTACATGTAATTGGTTGTATAGAATGATGTTGGAAGTGGCACATAAGACGAATTAATAGAAGAGCAAACGTACAAAAAAAAAGTAAAAGAAGAGAGAAGAAAAATGTTGCAGTAATAGTTTGAGACCTGTATGTGTGTTTATATTATTATTATTATTACTATTATTCTATGCATATATAGAGATGGGAAAAATAGTATTGTTATTTTTCTTAACATGAGAAGAATACAAACAGAATAGAATATACATATAATTCTAAGAAGATGCAAATACCGTTATAACTCCAGAAACCCTATACTCATATATAAATGAAGAAGAAGAAAAAGAAAAGAGATAACTCTTATATCAATGTCACACAACTTTCTGATAAAAGAGATACAAATAATACAATTTTTGAAGATCACAAACATATAGTATCATCAATATAAACAGATTTTTTTCATCAAATTCAAATAGTCAATTGTAGAAAGTGAATTCTTGATTAGAATATATCAGAAAATAAAAATATAAACGTTTCTCACCCGATCATCATATAATCAGTATATTGAGTGAAGCAATATACAGATTGATTATGCCGTGGCATAATAGGTCATATTAGTTCATTTTTTTTAAACAAATACATATATATATATATATATACAAGTATATATGTATGTACGTATATATAAGTGACGACTACAGAACAAGAAGAGAAAAAAAAACGAAACTTGACCGATCGAAATAAATAAGTAACATTCCATTAATTGTTCAAAACAAGAATGCTCTCTCTATAGACATCGAAGATACTCTACATAGGCAGCAGATACAGAGCAGAGATTGTGTCAAACATACACTATACTAAGTTAATCTAATAGCTGGTGAGAACATGATTAACATTCTAATTCTCAGTAACTGTTATGTTTACTTATAAAACTATTCTTAAATTTCAATATGATGTAAAGATTTTCTTTAATGTACAATATTTTGAATCAGTTATTCACTACAATGTCAATGTGATCGAATTTAAAGAAAATGCTCTCTTTGATACTAATCAAAAAACGTGTATACTACTTTCGACAAAAACAACAGATTCGTCTGTAAATGTACCAATACACATTGTGATTAGGAAACAAAAAAGAAAATGACTGGAATAAAACACCGTGCAAACTTTTTTTCTTTTCACTCCCATTGAATACGTCTTTGTCTCAGAAGTAAGCAAGAGTGTAGTATATATAATATGAGAGAACAAAGAAAGACATGACAGAGAGTAAAGAAAAAAAAAGCGAACAGCGAAATACGACAAATAAGATGTGTTAATAAAATATACATATCGACGTACATATATCTATACTGTAGTTTCTGCAAAACTACAGTTCTTTTTCTTTTTTCTTCAACTCCATTATACACAAAGGAAAACAACAAAAACAAACACGCTCGGATATGTCAACATCTTTTTGAAAATATACAGTAATGCTGTTTTATTTTATAACAGAAAAAAATAATTCATTTCTTAAACGTAACGAAATTATTAAACAGGACAAAATATTATAAGAAAACTGCAGTATCCGCTTAACATATACTATATTATTGATAATAAAATCAATTTTAGTGTTTAAGTAAGGATTTCTTTATTTTCCACTAAAATTCAGGTGCAAAGTTTTAAGAGCGGAAATTCAGAATGATTCAAGTCTATTAAACACTAATTACTATCAGTTTGCCTCATTACATAATAACTAAAAAGTATGCAAAGTGAATGAACTCTTACATAGTTATGTTAGTCACGCAACTAAAATGTCTTAACATTCAAATAAAAGAAGAAAAAAAAGTTTGATTCTAACGATAAGATTTTGTATGTAAGATATTGATCAATTTTCCTATTCTCAACGGAACAATAATCGATCTGCACATTGTATGAAAAATAAGAGAAATAATGATGATCATACAAACAAATGAAGACATTAGTTTACAATTCATCAATAATTAAACTTTCTATTTTGAATGAAAAAACATTACTAAGATTCGAGTCACTTTTTTACACTTATAGATCTGATATTAAAAAGATTTTCTCATTATGAGTTGATCGAATGACAATTATTTCTACAACAAGTGGAAATATGCCAAACGAATATAACGAGAAATATCTTGACATTTTAGCTTTCATTTGAAATAAAACTACCACGAGAGTTCATCGTAACCATTCTCTGAAAAATAATAGTAATCATTACTTATCCAGGTTTTCTTCGTTCTCTCTCTCTCTCTGTCTCTCTCTCTCATTCTGTTTTTACATAATAATATATACAAATGAACTATATTAACTGTTTACATCTAGTTTCTAGTAACTCACAGTATATTAGTAAATTGTTGTATATTTATGATGATGACGATGATCTATTATATATCATGAGCTTAATAGAACAACTTATTTATTTTTTTGTATAGAAACAATCATTTATCAATAGAAATGTGGCAGATCTTGGAACTCAAACTCAGAAACTATAAGACATTTCTGAAGCAATAATGACATTTTATCGATTATATCAAGAAATATTAGCAAGATAATTATAGAATGAGAGAATTAGTTTCAACCTACCATAATGACTTTGTCTACAAAATCGTTAAGCTCATCTTTCATAGTCATAATGAAGATGTCAATGTTTTTTATTCTATTCTTCAACTGGGTATGTCGTCCGGCACAAA